AGGGTACGCACAATAGCTCCTAAAGTTTCAAAGAAAGTCGACGTTAATCATAGATATACATACATATTCTAGATTTATTATATTAGGCATTTACATTTATATGGTTGTATTTAGCTCTACATTTTAACCAATGTTATTTGTAAAATACGCAATTTAGTTTATCAACTGCAAAGTATTATTCAATAAACGATCTCAGTATTCATCTATCTATCTCATCATCTGATGCAATGACAAATACAATAATAAACTATGTAAATCTGTAGGTTTGTAATACACGAGAGCAGGATAGCCTCGTCTTTCGATAAACCTGGCACATTACCTATGATTTGTCGTATAAATCAGAGTCATCACTACATAAACGACGAAATCTAAGAAACTGAAAAAAAGGAATGGAATTCTTGGCATGTGGTGGATGCAATGAAAAATACAATAATAAACTATGTAAATCTGTAGGTTTGTAATACACACTAGTACATACGCAGTTGTCTTTATGTAATTGAAACTTTGATGTATAAAAAAAGACAAAGAATTGTTTTAAGTGCACCTCCTTAAATCGATAAACAAATTCGTGTATTCAAAACTAAAAAGTGTCAATGCTGTCAATATCGTCTCAATGTTACTCGAAAATCTCCACCTCTTCAAGAACCAATCAGATTGTAACATTGTTTGCCGCGCCCTCTTAAATTAAATTGAATGACATGGGAAAAAAAGCTGCAGATGGCATAGGGCTTGGCGGATGTCTTAATAACAGTTTGTGCCAAGATTTCTCCTGCAAGCTGGCTATTGGATACTATCGCATTTATCGATTTTTCTCAGTTTTCATAAAGGCACGTCACATGTTAAAGAATTTTTCTATTAGACTATTTACAAAGCCAGTACACAGAAAAAAGCAACAAAAAATTAGAGAAAGGATAAAACAGGCAGAAGACTGTGCATTTAATAAATAGACTATCGGAAACACTGGAGAGAAATATTAAGATGAAAGAAATTTCCTCGGTCATATACTTCAGACGAAACTACACCATTATGTAAGTTTGCCATAAGTTGCTCAAAAGAACGTTTCACGTCGTTTCCAGGTAGACTAATCGTCCGTGGGTCTAGATAAAAGGGCTAAGTGTGCTCATTTCTATAATATCCTTCATTTTGGAATAGCATGACTCAATTCCAGAATTGCCTTTTGCAGTCATACACGGTAATCCAGAATTCTATCTTTTGGATAAGATAGAGATATTCTCCATTTAGTTTTTGTGAGGGATGTAATAACGCAAAAAAGTTGCTGGATAAAGCTCTATACAGCTGTGGGTGGAAGATAACATGAAATTATAATTTGTAATTAATGAATAAAGTTTTGTTGTTGTTGTTGTTTTTTGTTGTTTTGTTTACAGGTATCACTTATCTTTCACTCGTCCAATAGGGTTATCCACCCAGTTTAAATAACTCGGCCAAGAATTATACGTGTTCTAAAACCGTGAAATTGCTTTGATTTGAGATTTTATTGAGCTTGACGGGGCTGTTTGGGTTTAAAAAGAAGAAAAAAAGTCAGTCACCAAATTTCGTTTCTAACTATTTTATTCCATTCAATTCTGAACTCTGCAAAAGTCTATCAAGTCTATGACATCACTAAAATGGTATAAAAACAATTAATCGCAAGTTTCTTAACTCACTTTTCACGTAGCTTTTCTTTGCTATCCTATGCTTCTGAAATTTTGCGTGAATGATGCATTTAATCTCTCACCTTCAATGCCCCTTGCAGTAATACATGAGATTCATCTGAACTCCATCCAAGTGACTAATACCATTCCGTTGGCCAATGCTATCCGTATATTTGAGCGCAAAAACCCAAAATGAGCTTAACTGTCAGCATCCGCACATTTTGCTTTACATTAGCCAGCTTTGAAATCAATTTCATTCCCTTTTAGGAGCTTTATCTTCTTTGTCAGAAAGCTTTTCATTGTTCAATCGACGTTTAATATGTCAAAAGTAAGGGCGTAGCTAACGTACCCCGCCTCGTCTAGGTAGAATTGTGGGCCATCCATTCCGGCTGAAAGCGGTACACCTACAATGCATCACGCTTAAGTAGTCGTAACCAACCCTTAGAGAGTTGATGTAAGATATCTTTTGGAAATTATGTTGCTTGGCTATAAGTTCAATCATTGGTTATAAAGAGAAATATATTTCTCCTAAACACACGTCAAGGTACTTTGAAAATCTTAACTAGTAAGACCTATAGCAATTTGTATTTACTGCTTGACAGAAAGGTATACGCTTTTCTTTTGTTTTCGACTTTTTAAAAATTTTTGAACTGATCACGGCATACAGATATCTAACAAATATTGGATGAAGTTGAGCATGAGAGCGATAGTTAACAATGCTAAAGCTTGTGTTACCTGCCGACGCAACCGGAAGGCTGAGGCGGATAACACAAACTAAGGACTTGATAATTATCGATATCATGCGATAACCGAATCCAATATTTGTTTTATTATTTATAATCCTGAGCTGCACTTTTAAAGACATGAGCGCATAAAACTTTTGTCCGTAGGTATGACGTCACACTTACCTGTATAAAGTCTACTGTCTGTGGGTATGACGTAAGAGAATATATAATAACTTCAGCGTTATCACCAGTGACCTCCCGTCAAGGTTAAGAGTATTACTTTCCCCCTATTCCGAAATAAAAACCAGAATTTTCAACGAGGGAGAGTTTTATTCAGCCTGAGAATTACATAGGTATATTGATAAAAATCTATGTCGATCGTATCGCTGTAATGTTTCATAGAAACCCTAACTTTACACGAATCTGCGGTCTATTGACCCCGCGCATTTCGGCTTAATATTCTCAAATTTCAGCTCAGGCGTATGCCCACTTACCACTTTGGGTGTTCGGCCAATAGATAGTGACGTAGGCATCCCTATCAGGACGAGATTGTTCATGCCATAAACTTAAATTGCGCCTTAAGCATTGAACTTGATTAGTGGAAGTTTCACTCAATTTCGTATTGTTCACAGGCTACGGCTAGTGTTCAGCTATGAGGACCCTATTAGGTAGTGTCAGTATCTTCATGTTGTGTTTTATTTCTGAATAAATACACGAAAAGTCCCCCAAAAAAAAACTTTAAAGCACGCGGGCGAATAAATCAGTCACAATTTAAATGAATCAAGCTATGGACTCCTTCAAAACACAACGATAACCACTGCTCTCTAAAAGCTGCTTACCCTTAGCTATACTTGGATATCTATTGAAAATGAACTTTGAGAGTCCATGGGATGAAATCATTTTCCTCTAGAGCCACAACATACCCAACAATTTCATGAGCCACGTTCCCCTGCTCCAGCAGCCGGCATGAAGGGTGACGTCTTGACGCCAGCTGGCTGTTCTCACATATGATGAACATCTGAAAAACAAATAACAACAACAGTATTAACAGAAACAAGGCTTATGTTATGTGTAGAAATTTAGTTTTGGTGTATCCAGTCACATCACAAGACGTTGGCAATGATCAATTTGATTTCTCAGAACAGCAAAGCCAAAAATATAGAGATAGGAAATACTCCAAAGCTTTAACCGTTTAGAACTTCAAGTTCCTTTTGGCTAACGTACCCCCTCCCACCAGCACAAAATGCGTTTGGTTTCCATCAATGAGCTCGTTTAATTAAGGGCGTGTCGGGTACATCATCCAGTGTGCTCTAGCACAACTTATGAAAAGGAAACAATTTAAACCTTTATTTTCCGTGTGAGGCTACAAACATTATTTTTGCGAGGAGTTGCCTCAGCTACAACAACTTTGCATTTCATTGCGCTGAAGATTGGCGGTGAGGCTGCCGGGCTAGGTTGCAATTGGAGATTGGCCAGGTTGATTGATTACAGTATAAGATGTAAGTCTATTCCTTATGTATTTCTTTTAATTAACCTGGGTTTGGTTTGGTGGACCAAGGGAGTTGATGCTTACGAAATTGGTTAGTACTTGTCATTGAGAGGTATATCTTAAACACATCCATTCAAATGAGGGTGTATTTCCTACCAAGGCTACAAAAGAGAGGAGAGAAAAGTTTTAGAGGAGCTTAGAAAAAGTCTGTTTCAGGCTCTTTTAAAGTAAGTTAATTTTTGTACTCAACTTTGATCCAAAGTGAGCAAATGCACTTTATACTTTTGGCTCCTTGGTTTAAGTTTCTTTCTGTGTTGTTTTAGCATTTATTTACTTTTTACTATACATAGAAGCTTAAAGGACTAATAACGGCATTTACACCACACACGAACTAATGGTAGAGTCGAGTCCATGCAGTGGTTTTTTACATGAGATGATAGACAGGTAATAGCCTTTTATTTTGTAACAAAAAGGATGACACTGAAAATGAACTTTTTAGAGGGCATGCGTAAAAAATGCTGCAGACGGAGGGGAGTGGCGTGCAGTCTGTTTATTTATGCTCTATATACTGTTCATATGGTGATCCGGAGTTTTTCAAATCAAAAACTTAAATCATAGGTAATGATTTTTCTATTCTTTATGCCAATCAGCGAAAAGCTTGGAAAGAATAGAACCATTAACAATCTAAATATTCTTTTATACATCTTTTTTCCAAACTCCTACCCACTGCAATTTCGGAAATACATTTAATATTAAACAAAGTTTCCAGAGAAAGCTATTCAGTTGGGTATTTTTGATTTATTAATGTTTATCAATCTTGACTTGAGCAGGGGCGTGTGACATCAAGCAAAAAGTGGGCGTGCATCGCCAGCCTAGAAAGAGGTTGGCCTCTGTGAAGAGGGCTTTCCTCTTGCTATAATTGTTCATTGAGGTCAAGGTTGTCAAGGCAAGGGCTTATGTTGTAAAATTCGTTGCCACGGGAATAAAAAGAAAAAAAAAAGTAAAAGAAAGTTATACTTTCATTGAAGAAAGAGTGCTCCTAACAAGTGAAATGACACAAATTTCAATAAATTCTAGCTGCTTTAATTTGGCTGTCCTTCGTCGGCTCGTCTGATCATTGATCATGTAAACAGAATGATTCTATGTTTTCAAGGGTCTGTTCACATCAGCGACACGCTTGGCTGCGCCTCATTTGCCCTTTTGACGTCATCTGTAATCTATTACAGCAGCATGGAATGTATTTGTTACCTAGACAAAGGCGGAAACGACATGTGTACATGCATACGAGTCACTTTTTGTTTGTTTTTGTTTTTTCAGCTTGTGGACCGGACTGCCAACTTCTTTGCCTCAAAATGCACAATTATTACAGATCCCTACATAATTCACCTCCCCTAAGTTGTGACCAAGAATTGGCAAAATCTGCGCAAAAATGGTCTGATCAACAGGCAGCAGTGGCGCATATGCACCATTCAAAATGGACGCACGAATATACCGAAAGCATTTCGCGGAAAGGATGGGGTTGGGAAGGAATGGACAGAATAGGATGAGCCATACCTGGGGCGGTCAGAAGTTGGTATTCAAAAATCAAGAACGGCTACAGATATCAAACTGGACAAGGGAATGGCCATCCTGTCGGACATTTCCAGACGGTAGTATGGAAAGGGGTGACAAAGTTAAGCTGCGGGCTGAATATCAAGCCAGGCGATGGCACTTTCGTAACAGCACATTATGCCCCAGCCTTTCATGCAACCAGGCACTATTCTGAACATGCACGGGAAAATGTCATGCCACGAAGACAACCAGGTCCGTCACTAGTCAATAGTTTTTACAGGCTAATTTTTTAAAAAAAGATACAAAACATATATATCATATCAACGACAACGATAAAAAACAAAAATATAAAAAAAACCAACAACGACTATAGTACCATGACCATAACCTTTACGAGCACCATTTGAAATATGTAGTCTCCTCATCCCATTAACCATCATTGCACCTTCCCAGTCACTTCTTCGTTAAAAGTAGTGGATTCCAAGCTAAGGAACCAGTCTCCTGGGGGGAAGGTGGGGGATGTGTTGGGAGCAGTTTTGAAAGACTACATGGAGGAACATAGAGAGGATCAGCCGTCGCTAAAAGCGTATTAAAGGGTTTTACAGAAGATTGGGTGCCAATAAAGTGGGAACATTAAAGTGGGAACATTACAATCATTCAGAGCTTTAGGGGGAATCAGGTACATTTCACTGGGACACAACCCAAATTGTCCGACCACTCCCCTCCCACATCCCCTCCTGGTCCCTTAAAGCTTAAAGCAAGCAATCGTAAAAGATCTCATTGGAATTAAAGTTCCATACAGCTTTGAAGAAAAGAAAAAGTAATCTTAAAACTCATTCACATGCGCTAATCTGCTTTTTGTTTTCTGTTTTTTTTTATCATTATTATTATATTAAATTATTTTTCAGAATCCTCATGCGAAATCGAGTCAGACGAACGTGTTAAGTGCTCGGACAGTCTTGTCGCTCCATTTGCGACACCTAAAATGTGCCTTGACGCCGGTTGTTGCTATGACGACATGTTCATGAATGAGCCAAATGTGAATTTTTATAATCGAAATGGAAAGACTTGGTGCTTTCAAAGAAAACAGGCCTAAGAAAATGAACTAGCTGCCGATAGAAACTAGAATAAAAATGACAACGAGTTAAACTTATATGGCTAGATATATTTTATTAAAGCAATGAAACAATGAACACGTTTTCGTCAGTTCCTGTGCTTTTCCCCATGATACCTTGCGTTGCGGTCACTAAAATGGTGGCAGGTGCTATGCGGACTAACGAAGAAATGTTTACATTTTCTGGATGCATAAGACAAGAAAACCATTCAAAGCTCTATCAAAGGAATGGCTAGTAATAAAAAATGTTTGCGAGGAAATTCGAACATCGCAAATTACAAAAAACAATCTTGTGTACTCATGGAGAAGGTATGTACTTGATCAATGACATCTGAGCTATGTAACACGTGTTTCTTTCAATGATAACTACGACAGCACGAATAGTTTGACGAAAAAATGAAATGTCCAGTTTTTGTCTCTATGTGTGATTATTTAACCCAAGGCAGCTTTCTTTAACGAAAAAGGAGACTGGTGCTTGCATTTTTCAATTCCAAAATGATAAACCTATACTGGTTACGGAGCAGGTACATGTACAGCGATCATCGAAGTGTGTCGGATTAATCGCCCTAAAGCGCATACTAGAACATCATTTTGTCAATGTAAGAGGAAGACAAAACAACAATTTATCAACTAGCCTTGGTTGGGGAGCCAGCGGACAGGTAACAAAGCAGCCCTAGCATGTTGTCTGAGATAATTTATGATTATTGCTAACTTGGATAGCAGGTGCGTTTCGTCGAATAACCTTAGACGATTTAGACGATGAACTTATAATTTATTTAAGTTACTTCAAGATGGTAACTTGGTAAGAAGGGACTTGAAAAACGTATTTATTGGTAGACACAGAAATTATGCAATCAAGTGGCCTTTTTCAATGTTATGTAAATAATCCACGGTAAATATTTCATTTGGCTTGATTTGAGCCACAAAGGGGGCAATCGTGTCTTAATTTTCTAACAGCAAACACTTGAAAATTCAGTCAATGCTAAAACCTTTCTTTAATATTGCAACGAATACGCTTTGAAAGTTACGTTCCATACAGCTTTGAAGGATATTGTTGGCTCGACTCAGCTGTAAAAAGGAAAAGAATGGAAAGGAAAATATTTAAAGCTCATACAATAAATCTTCCGCTCACCATTTGTTTATATCAGAGATGACCAATGTAACGCCTTCCCAGTCGTTTTGTGTTGCGTGACGTATCCCGTCATTCCTAGTTTTTCATACGGGACCTTAAGATAAGTTCCCTCGTGGAGAAAAGCCGAAAAAACCTTTTTGCTAGGACGGGTGTTTTTGTGGTTTCGTTAACGAGCTAGTTAAGCTTCACTTGAAACCCCTTCATAGGCATGTTCCATGTCATAGGCATGTTCCATGTCATAGGCATGTTCCATGTCATAGGCATGTTCCATGACAGTCTTCGACAGTCATCCGGGTAGTTTAGTGAGTATTATCTCAAAGTAACGTTGTAATTGACCGTGGTTTAAAATAAACACCGGACTTGATTGTGAGACGTATTGGCGCATACCCTTGGTTTTGACGTGGCCCGTTGCACAAGCAAAGCGGCCGCTACACCCAATGCCTCCTACGACATCTGTACAAGGCAGAGGTCCCCACTTTTCACGAAAGTTTCTCTTGTTCATACTTGAAAACGCTAGTGTTGGGGGGTTTTACCACTCGCTTGGACGAATTAACAAGAGGTGCCAAGACTCTGTACTTTTCTTCATAATTCTCTTCTACTGCTGCTTCTACTGCTCCTATCTTTCTTCTACTTTTAGCAAGGAGTGCCCACGCATTAAATGAAAAAATCACAGACGTGTTTGGGTTAGCTGACGGTGGGACTTTCCATTGTGCATTCGTTGTTTTGCAAAGGGGGAAATTGGGTGGCTCGCTCCGAAGCACTTGGCGAGGAGCACCAAGGAACCAATTAAACGCCAATGAACGAGCTGCGCACGAGAATCCCGCGCACAAACAGGATGTTCAGTGCGAGTTAACTCAAGGTCAGCTTTACCAACCCAAACATGACCACCTATGAAACTAATTATTTTTAAGCCCAACAAGTGATTAAAATGTCTAGCACGGTAAGAAGGAAATCCACGAACTTAGCCAAGTTCAAGCACACATTAAAGATAAAAGTCAAAACTATAGATCTACCAAAGTAACACGTAGACGCAAAAAGGCGAGACTTAACAAAACAAAAGGTAAACCTAAAAATACTCAAAATAGCAATCCTTTAAAATACTCTACAACACTAGTATCCCAAATAATAGACCTGCTAAATGTCAAAAACTTTCTAAGGGTGAAATTTGTAGATCTCTGTTGATGACTTGTCTGGAAAACTTGTCAGAGAGACAGCTGTGTACTTAACTTACTATGAATTTTTTTATTCCTCAAAAATTGAAAAAAAACATTTGATAAACACTAGAAGCTTATAAACATGAAGCGACTATGTCTGCCCAAGAGCTGAGGTTTATTAAAGAATGAGACTAACCAATCGTAATTTACTTCCTAATAAAGAGTTTGATTATCTCTAATGGTTACTGAATGTGTAAAAAGTGAAAACTTTGTTTCACAAAAGAGTAAAACTGATATAAAACCTAAACACTGAAACACAAAATAGCACAGCCTTTCCGGATGATCGCTTTACACAACTTCGTCTACTAAACGAGTCGACCACATGAAAACTTTGAATTGAAGCTGGCAAAAAGTCAAATTGACTCTGAATGTAAAAATACTTTATTCAAATAAACTACAGTATTTTCTTTGATAAAAAAAAATATTGTGTAACGTAAATTTGATAAACTACAACTCTGTGCGCACGTCAATAGATTTTGCTACAAGTGTTATTTGAGAGTAAACGGCCACGTTTTCACAACTACCTCCCCCGCAGAGGTCAGTGGTTCGAGTCCCGTACAGGCCTGATTTTTTTCAGGTCTGATTTTCGCTATTGCATAAATAGCGCTATCTAATGCGAGGATCGTACATCATACGTATCTGATGCCGCAGTTCAAAATATATGAACTTCATATATTCATTGTATCTCAATATCGTTTTGATTGAATTGAAGTTACAGTACCCTCCCTTACTGACCTATTACTGTATGATATTCATCCTGTGGGATGATGGCTAATTCAGCGGAGATCCCTCCTTTGCCTGGTTCAGATGGGGAATTGACAGTTTTCCACAGAGGCTTGGACAAGCACTATGCAGTCAATGTAGGAAATGGAGAAATCGTCCATGTAACCTCTTCTGATCATAACGAGCTGACTTCCGCGGTCGCAAGGTCTAAAGAGGCATGGAAATTTAAAACAAGTTCCGTAAGTTCGACCTTCGACAAAGCCGTCATAAAGAAAGAAAAATTCGAAAATTACGTCAAAGCAGGGGATAACGTGTATGTAGAAACAAGTAGGGAGAAACCATTTCCCTCCGAGGAGATTGTAAAAAGGGCTAATTCCAAACTCAGTCCAATGGATTATCGCCTCTTAGGGAATAACTGTGAGCATTTTACGTTCGCAGTGGCCGCTATCTCTGGTCTTGTTCTTCTTTGGATATTAGCAACCGACGAGGAGTCTGAAAACTGAATCACTGTTGAGAATCGAAATTTTTTTGGTTAATCAAACTTTCTTCAGTTGTTACGTTAATATTTGAACTGTAGATTGCATCAGTTTGATTATGTTCATTATTCAATACTCGCTCAATAGTTGCATTTTACCTTATGTGTATTGTAATGCTATTCTACCTGACGGATTTTAAGGAGATATTGCATCAGCTACTAGAATGTACTGATCTCGAAAGAGATTAAAGAGCAGTTACAAGATACTATGTAAATCCTGGTAAACGTATCATTAAAAAAAAACAAACAAGCATCTTTTTAGTCTATCACGATGAATTGAATTTGACTTAATTTATTTTGTGCTCAAAATGTAATTATTTGCACTCCTTGTGCATATGCTCTTATTTAATTTGTTTTTTTGTACAATTTGTAAAAGAAGACTGAATTGCTTGATCGCAAGACGTGGATTAAGGTATTCTATGATTTACATATACACACCGCATAATGAAGAATGGGTTTAAAAAAGAATGAATAGTCCATTTTCGATATATTAAAATTCAAAACTTGCTCCGAGGCTTGGGGGCATAAAGAAAACCAAATCACATCAAGGTTGAGGGATGAATAGTTTATTTCTTTTGTCTTATTCCCCAATCCTCGGAGACATGTTAGATTTATAATTTATCGAAAATAGCCTATTGAAGACAGCCATCGAAATTTATTTAGCGTAATTCTTGTACACTAGTGAACCAGATTTCCAAGGTGCAGCCAATGTAACTATGAACAAAACAAATGTAAAACTGCACGAATCAAGAGAATATATCAGCAAGAATTTCACCTAGTAGCATCATCGCACATCCGGTATCACAGTCGTTCAATTCAGGTGATCAGCATGAATTAATGAGGCATGGAAATTTAAAACGAGCTCTGTAAGTTCAACCTTCGAGAAAGCCGTCATAAAGAAAGAAAATTTCGAACATTACGCCAAAGCAGGGGATATAGTGAATGTAGAAACGCGTAGAGAGAAACTATTTTCCTCCTAGGAGATTGTTAAAAGGGCTAATTCCAAACCTGGTCCAATGGATTATAGCTTATTCGGGAATAACTGCGAGTATTTTGTCGTTGGTGTTGTTATAACGATGCGATAAGCACACAAGCCAATTTTGCGTTGGCGGTTTTCGGCACCAGTTTTGTTATTCTTTGGAAATTAGCCACCGAAGAGGAGAAAGTCTGAGAACTGCATCAGTGCTGAGAATCGATTTTTATTTGGTTAATCTCTTCAATAGCCCATTTCCGAATTACCCTTGGCCTCATTTTCAAAGCGAGTCCTGGTGCTCATCCTTTCATATGATAGTAAGTTTTTATTCACATGCTTATTAAACTCATTTTCTCAAGAATGGTTGAGCACCAGATCTCGTTTAGAAAAAGAGGCCAAGAGTAATTCGGAAATGGGCTCTTGTGGCGCTAACATTTGAATTATAGATTGCATCAGTTTGACTGTTTATTACACAGATGTAAGAATTGCACGATCTAGAAAATACATTAACAAGAATTTCACCTCGTGGCAACATCGGACATCCTTTGGGGATTGTTGCTCTTGCCCATTTCTGGAAAAGTACCTTAAAACGATGTGGTTAGGCTAAAATCAGTGTCAGGCATGATTACGTGATCAAGCATGAAACCTCAGTAAGTGTTGGCAATGCTTTTACTTCAAACACGAGGTTATTAAAGAAGACACATGATGATAATAGCTCCTGTTAGTTTATTTTTCACCAGATGACATGACAGGCTCTGGAACCGAAGGAAGAGAGAAGAGAGGGGGTACGGTGTAAAAGTGTTTTGGGGATCCCCGAGGTTTGGGTATCCCCGTAGTTTTGTTTTGGGTCTCCCCCGTACCCAAACCAACAGTAGGGACTTTAAGCAAACCACGACAGCTACGGCAACGAGAACGTGAAAAAAAAAAATAGATCTAATTGGCAGGAAAATATCCCAGCACGTGCGTTTTAAAACTTTGTACATTTCTTAGCCGTCCTTTCCAAAACAACAACGTGAAATCACCAAAATTTGCGTCGTCTGTGAAGCTAAACCGTGGCGGCAAGTTATTTCAATTTACATTTGGAACTCAACGCTACTTTTATGCGTTATGTTGAGTTTGTGGTCTGGCGCCCTATGAGACGGTAAACACATCCAGCCATTTTCGAAATTCTAACTAAAAGTAGAAACTTATTTTTTAATCGACGTGTTCCGTGGCGCTGCCGTCCTGACTGCTTAAAGTCCCTAGTTTCTCCCCTTTGGGCATACCCAGAACGCTAAAAGTGAATTAAACAGGAGACTGGCGCAACTTTTTTCATGAAAAATAATATATTGATTTCAAGTGACAAATGTAAGCTCTATCATTCCAGACACTCATCAGGAATTAAGCATAAACTAGAGTAAGTCCCAAATTCACATAGGGTAGGGCAAATTTAAACCATGCTGTGTGAATTTTTTGGAAAACAAGAATATTCTGCCCCTACATGTACTTTTGTTGGTGGGATATATCCCTCCATATGACGAATTCTATCATCTTTATCGGCTGACAGTAAATGCCCCCCACATATCAGTGTGCCAGTGTGAACACTGTTAGTGGCATCAAATGCAGGCAACAACCGCTTAAGGAACCGAATTAAGGGACCATTGCTGGGATTTTCATTGTCCATAAACAGAAAGTAATATGTCTCTTTGTTATAGTGACTCAACTCGTCAAAATGTCAGTTACAAAGAGCAATACTATCGACAAAGTCACAGACCCGTGCTTTTTCACCCTCGCACAAAACATATCAATTACGGCTCTTTATGAATGAAGACAAAAGCCGGCGTCGGTCGGTAACATTTTCGCAGACTGAAATGATGCCCACTGCACACAGAAGTATGGGCGGGAAAACGGCGGGAAAGCACTAAGATCACTTCAGCAATCATCACAGGCACAAAGTTTTACAAGTTAAAAGTTTCTTTAATTAACTGGCACAGTCGTTGAGAGTATAATAGGCTTAAACCTTACATAAACTTTTAAGTAGAATATCGACCTAAAATGTGATAAACTAATTGAAGCCAAAAGGAAGCGATTCATATCTGACGTAACACTAATTCAAACTGGAGTTCCTTTCAGTGTCGGTAGAACTATAAAATTGTTTTTGAGCTGTAAATGATGTACTTACAGATCTGCAGCTTTCGTCAGGAGGATACATACATGGCATTCTCAAGTTATGGCAATAATATTTCATCTTCAAAGAGCCCAAAAAAAATTTCATATCCTCGAAAAAAAACCTCATGTTTGATATTTTTCTCGTAAATAAGTTACCGTTTTTGTACACAATAATAAATCCAATCTACTTTCTGACAGCTCCAATGAATAGTAAAATCGAACAAGATTCTGCTAGCTTGATTGCAAAGTCCTCTTTGCGAGGACAGCGGCTCTGTAGAGTCCACAATGACGTGTTACATTCTGATTTGTCGTCCGCCATTTTGAAGTGGAATAGTGGGAGTCAAACACTCATGGTACTAGACTCATACTGCGCATGTTCAGCTGATTCGCGCTTACGATGTGAAGCGTTACTTAAGTGGGAAGGTTACTGATGTATAAGGACCCATTTATTTCTAGACTGGTCGATAAAGGAAACAGTCAAACTGAAAAACAAATAGATTGCTTGTTCTAAATGTGAAATGACATTTGAGAGTTCAAGCCGTGACGAAATGTTACCTACAAATCGTAGGGCAATCCATACATCACTATGTGTTCCTTCGAAGTCTTCGGTCGATCGTTACACAAATATTGAATTCGTCGCGTGCTGTTTAAATAAAAAGGGGGGTAACTGGTTTCCAGATTACCTGGGACAACATTCTGGCGCAAAAAACGGGGTATTACACTAGGGATTATTTATATGAAGTACTCGCAAAAAACTATTGTTACACTAACCGCAAATCACCAGCGGTTTTTCCGCCCTGTCGCTCAAATGAAAGAATCATCTAATAGGGCGATCAACGGTCCGACCATAACTGAATGAAACGGTGGGCATGGAAAACGCAATAAAAGTATTATTTTGGGTCAAAAATTAGAAGATCTTGAGTCTTGTTGACTGTAATTTCCATAATTTAGCTTATTTTGTTATTATTTGGCACTGATACATCGTTCGGCCGTTCAAAGTGCGATCTGCGGTGGACTAGTCAGTCACAGTTGTCTTTTTCAAAATTCGCGCCGTGTAACTTTGGCTTATACTCCAAGCCCCTTATACACATCGGTTCGCTGAGCCTTCAGATTATTCCTATTGAAACTAGCGGCTTCATAATATAATGCATACGCTATGTTCAATATCTGTGTCAATACCTTTTAAAGAATGAGTAAATTCGCTAGTAATTGCGATTTACAGCCATAATTTTACAACTCTAGTGCTTTTTCAGCAACATTCTTAACATTACTAAACAGCTTCAAAAGGTATACGCTAAAAGTGGCGCACTTAGGAGAATCAGGCTTTTTGTCCCTGGCAATGTTATGTTAAGGCTCTATAAAAGTTTCATTCTCCCTCATCTTGAATACTGTTGCCCCCTCTTTCTTGGATTGGGGAAAGTGCAAGCGAATCGGCTAGAAGATGCCAACTATTATATTCTTAGATCACAGCTAGGTTATCGCAAGTCTACCTTTTGTGATGAATTGCTGCGAATGTTGAATATGGAAACGTTAGACCAGAGAAGGAAACAACAATCCCTTATTCTGTTATATAAATGTTTGCATAGCGGTGGTCCCAAATATATCAGATATTTTCTTAGTTTTAGGGAAACTATGTACTATCTGAGAGGAACCGGCATTAATTTGTACGCACCTAACTTTAATTCAAATTTTATGAAAAAATTTTTCACTTATATGTGTGCGCAGCTGTGGAATGGATTACCTACAAGTGCAAAACTGGCCAATAATATCAACCTTTTTCAGAAGCTATTGAGAACATTGAAACTTTAGCTGCCCCTTCATTTTATACTTGTATTTAAGTGACTCTC